AACAACAATAAACTTTATAACATAAAAATAACGATGTTAATAATAATAATAATAATAATAATAGTAATAATAATAGTAATAATAATAATAATAATGATAATAATAATAACAATAATAGTAATAATAATAATAACAAAAATAACAAAAATATTAATATTAGTAATAATAGTTAAAATTAGTTAATAATAGTAATGTAAATATTTGTAAAAATAACAATACGCAATATTAATGACAACAAAAATATATAACAGAAATTAAAAAAAAAAACAATACTAAAGACAAAAAAAATTGATTATATAAATTATAAACAAAAAGTAGAACAAACTAGTTTTAAAGGTTAAGAATGAGAGCTTTTAGTTCATGTGTTGTTCCAAGTTTTAATGCTTTGATATTTTATAGACTTATGTCCGCAATTATGAGAGCGTTGTTACCTAAATTATGAGAGACAGACAGACAGGTTTAAATTACTATTGGAAAGAAGGTGATAACGAGTGTTGGCACTTTTGGAAAAGAAATTGATGAAAGTTAAAGGTAGGTTATTGTGTTGATGGTTCCAGACAAATTGACAGTTTAAAAGTTGAATATAGTCACAGTTAGTTTTAATACTAATAAGAAGTTAGGTAGAGCACATTAGGATTAAATTTATTATTCTGAAAATAAATAATTTTTAAACCCTTGTTTTGGTGGTGGGATAACCTAATAATAGCTTTTTGATGGGACTGCCTCTATACTTGGCATGCATATCTAAGATGTGAGCCAAAAAAAAGCATGGAATATTTTCAAGAGTATATCAAGATTAACATATTAGTGAATTTTGGCCAACATGCCATTAGATCTACTTAGTTTCATTGCGAAGTCTTTACAGTAGAATAAACGTGAAAAGTTTGAATCAATTTTTATACCAAGATATTTAATTGAGTTAACAGGTTCAATTTTTTTGCCACTTAATATAAAGTTCATATTTTTATAGATTTTTGTTTTATTTGATTTAAAGATAATGAATTCAATTTCATTAGAATTTAAAAAAAGTTTGTTGGAGCGAAGCCACTGAACTAGATTGGCAAGATCATGATTAATATGTTTGTTAATTTTTTTATAGGATTCATTAATTAGCATTAGATTAGTATCATCAGCAAAATGGTAAACTGTAGCAAATTTAATGGATCTATGAAGATCATTAATATAAAGAAGGAAAGGCAGTGGTACCAATACTGAACCCTGAGAAACACCATTAGAACATTTTACAAGGGTAGATTTTGAGTCATTGATATAAACAAATTGTATTCTATTGTTTAAATATGTAGTATATCATTTAAGGGGTACGCCTCTGATCCCATATTATTCTAATTTTTCAACAAAATTGAATGATCTATTGTATCAAATGCTTTCTGTAAATCGAAAAATACATTACATGCAAAGTGTTTATCATCAATTGCTTTTCTAACCAATTCAGTCATTTCAATGAGAGCATGAGTTGTGGAGTGATTGGCACGAAATCCATACTGATGGGTGTAAAATAATTTAAATTTTTCAAGAAAAGCATAAAGCCTATTATGCATTGCCTTCTCAAAGAGTTTACCTATATTAGAAAGCAGGGAGATTGGTCGGTAAATGGTTAAATTTAGTCTTAGAGCCTTTTTTAAATATTGGAATAACTTTGGCAACTTTAAATCTATTTTAAATATTAAAATATATTTTAAACTTTAAATCTATTATATCTGGAAAAATACCATTTTTAAATGAGTTATTTATAACAGTACAGAGAGGCTTTGAAATAATGTGTGAGACTAGTTTGAGGAGAAATGTAGGTACGCTATTAGGATCAAGACTTTTTTTTGTTTTAAGCGTGTTTGTAATGAGACCAGATATTTCATTTTCAGTTACCGGATTAATAAAAAACGATTTAGCATTCGGAATGCTAAGAAAGTCACTAAATATGCGTTTAGAGGGTATGGCTTTGCTAAGTAGTTTGTTATGTATAGTGCTAAAATAATTATTAAATATATTAAATTTTGCAAATAATTCATTTTTCTTATAAATATTTTTTGATTTTTATAAATTTTTTATAAAGTTTGTTTTTAACTGAAATAGATTTAAGTATTCCATACATAATACAAGGTTTTGATTTTAGTTTAATTTTTTGGTTAGTTAGTATTATGTAAGGAGCATGTCGGTCTAAGATTTTATCAAATGTTTTTAAAATAAAATTCATAGATTTATTAACATCATCATCTTTTTTAATGGAGAGTTCCCAGTTGGTATCAGAAATTTCTTCAATAAATATACTTTTGTTAAATTTTTCGAAGCATTATCTGTAAGTTTTTTTCAAATAAATTGTGCCATGTGGTATGAATTTGAAATTGTAGGGTTACCTGAGTAATGATTCGTTGAATATAAGTTCGTGAATGTGTTATCAATGAGCGTTTTTGATGTATCCGTTATGCGTGATGGTAAAATTAGAGAAGGGCTTAGTGAGTAAGATGTTAAAGAATCAATACATGTAGAAAGAGGGTTAGTGATTTAATAGATCCATATTAAAATCAACTATAGAAAGATCTTTTTTTTTTTTTTGTTATTTAACGCTTCAAGTGGAGGAGTTAAGTGGGAAAAAGTAATCTTATGTTGATTCATTGAGCGATGACGATAAATGCTGCCAAAAATTATATTTGATTCACAGGGTTTTGCAATTTCAACAAAAATAGACTCTAAATATTAAGAAGAGTAAATCATAAGATCATTGCGAACTACGTAGTTTAAATTTGAGCGTAAGTATAAAGGTGCTCCACTTTTTTTAGCCTCAGTAGGACAATGCTCAATATTAAATCCGTTTATGTATATATTAGTTATAATGTAGAAAATCAATATGGTCACACTTTACATGGACCCATGAGTTACAAAGATCACATTGGATGGCTCTTTGATTGTCAGTTATATTTTTATGAAAAGTGATGCAGAGAGATTTAAATCCCATAATCTTTAGAAAATATATATATATATATATATATATATATATACATCCAGTATTACTAGTTAAAGTGACTAAAGTGTGAAATAGAGATTAAAAAAAAATACAAAGCAAAAGAACAAATATAATAATTTAAAACTTGGGTAACCGTTGGCGTGAGTAATGGAAAATAATTTTCATAACAATATAAAGAAATAAGAACAATGATAGAAAAAATGAGTAACACTAAAGGTAACTAAAAGTTAACAGTTATAAAATAAAACAATGAAATTAAACTTTCACAAACCACAAACTAATTTTACAAGTAACTATGACAACAAAAAATATGAATATAAAAAAACTAATAATACTATAATAATATACTATGTTAATAATATATACTAATAAGAATATAACTACTGTTAATTAGTACCAATAATAATATTATTAATAAAAATACTAAAACAATAATAAGTAAAAATAAGTCAAAAATAATTATCTTTATAAAAATATAATATTAGAAATATATGTAATAAATAAAATAACAAGGTATCAAACGATGACTAAAAATAAATACAATTAACTATAAATAAATAATATAATGTGAGAAAACAAATAAAAGTATAATGACTGAAAAAGAATAACTAATGCATTATAATCATGATTACAAGTTATTTTGTAAAGGAAAAAGAAAAATTATTAAAAAAAAAAAAAAAATTTCTAGCTCTACTTTTGCTTTCTCTTCTTTCTTTTTTAATAGATTATTTTTCTTAACTTTTTTATTTTTTTACTTTTTATTTGTTTACTATACTTTACTTTCGTTCTTTTGTTTTCCTCATTTTTTTTTTTTTTTTTATTTGAGTCTATGAGGTGTTCTTTGTTTATATATATATAAATTTGAAGTTCTTTTTATATTTTTTATATATATACAATTTTTTTCTTTTTTGAATTTTTTTTTGTGTGCGTGTTTACTTCAAGTTAATTTATATGATCGTTGATGAGTTATTTTTGCTTATAAAATAAATAATTAATATTTTTATATGTAGTTTGGTTTTTTCTATATTCTTTATATTTATCTTCAATTTTCTCTTTTGCCGTTATAAAAACGCATCCGCCTTTTGCCAAGACCTTGCGAATGGTCAGGGTTAGGGCTAGTAGAGTTTTTTCATATTGAAGAGCTCTGACAACATAATGAGAAAACCAAGTATTTAGTTACCAAGCTGCTTCATTTACTAGATTGCGTCTGTTACCATCAGAATTAGTCATGGTGTTGATATTATCAATTAATTTTTCAGACAACCAACTTGCATTACTTTGCACTTCAACACATTAAAATTCACAATCCAGTTGTGCGAGCAATTATACAGTAATAATTATAATGCAATAAGATTTCTTCTTATTGCGTTAATAACAAAACTGATGATAAAACCTTCATAACTTACCATTTTATTATTGTTGTTTATAAATTTATCCAAAAACCTATAATAAACTAAGTTCCAATAAACAAGATCATTGGTTTTAAATCTTATCAAACAACTTATAAGCCATGATTTGACGTAACAATACATTGATGATAACTTGAATTGATATTACAAGTTTTGAAAAAAAAGAACTTGAATTTATTAATTTTTGGCCATTTTTTCTTAGTTACGCCCGATTGTGCATTACAAAATTTTTTTCAAAATGAATTTTCTAACAAAAATTAAAAAATCTGCTAATATATGGTGGGTGACGTCATAATTTATATTTGTTCTTAACCCCGCCACTTGCAGGACTTGACGGGTTTTAAATCCAACTATGCTACTTATTATTAGTGACACAGTTTTAACTTCATTGAAAAGTAAATTTTAACCGATTGTTGGAAAAGTTTTTTATTTTACTATTTATTTTTTACTTTAGAACAAGCTAAAAACTAATCAAATAATACGTATATATATATATATATATATATATATATATATATATATATATATATATATATATATATATATATATATATATATATATATATATATATATATATATATATATATACATATTTAGTTTTATGTTATACCTTCTCTTGACGTAGAGTTTTAGTAAAACAATCCCATGTTCCACCATATATGTTTCCATTTGGATTAACTCCTTGAGTTTGTAGTCGAGCCTTAAAAAAAAATCTAAAATTTTATAATAAAATATTTTAAGCTTCAACACTGAAATTGAATATATTTTTTTTTTGTTCACATACCTTTACTGTATCCAATGGATGACTCACCAAAACGCCCCCACAACCTTAATATGGACCAAACTAATAGTAGATAAATATTTACAAAAGCAAAAATAATTTAAATTTTAATTTGTACAACAACTTTCAATTGAATAATTGATTTTACCGGAAATCCAACCACATGTTAAATCGGCTAAAATATCAAGAACGTAAACGCTACTTTCTTTTCTTGTCATTAATAACAATACTTATGGATAAGCAAGCTAAATATTTAAAATGAATAATTAATACATTTTTAGCAAAAAGTATTAATAATAAAAAATGAGGTTAAAAGAGAAAAAAAGTATTACTTTTAAAATATATGAAAATTGGTAACGCTTTTTTAAAGCAACCTAAAATTTTGTCTTTTTTTCATTAAATCATTTTTTACTAAATCATTTTTTAGCAAAATTGCTTTTATTGTTAATATTTATTAAATCACCTTTTTGAAATTTTAAGGTGGACACCCCTAAAAATGATAAAAACTTTTAAAATATTTTCTGTCGTCTTCATGAAAAAACTAGATATTCTGTTTTCATTGATAAATTAATTTAAAAAAAAACAATAATGTTTTTAGATAATGTCCTGGTCTGTGTTTTTAGGTATTGTTCTCATTGAAAATGTAACCTAGAGAGTATATAGGTCTTTTAAAAAAGAAAATATCGAAAATATTTGTATGTTTATAAAGCCAAACAGTTATTAAATCAATCTTAATTGAAAAACTTGTATTTTTCAAGATTTTATGAAGAAGAGTTAAGACCTTTAAGAAGATTGTTTCTTATGAAGAAGAGTTATGGCCTTTAACGATAACTTTAATACTGCTTTTAAGTATGACTTTAATATTGCGTTTAGAAAGAAATGATTATATAATCTCATAAATTTTTCCACATCATATGAAACTTATCGAGAAAACTAAAATGCCAAACTTTGTTAAAACTTTTTGATATGTCAAGAACATTAGCCTATGCCTAAAAGTTAGTGCTGGAATTAAATGCGTATCTGTATTTGATTTTGTATTAGTAAAAATTTTGCATATTTGTATTTGAATAAAATTTCTTAAATACTTCTATTTGAATTTTTATTTGATTGAAATGTATTTGCAATTCCATAAACTATGTTAACCTTACCTTAGGGAAAAACCAACATGTTAGTTGTTTTACTTTAAACTTTAAAATAAGTTAAAAACTTATTTTTTAAGAAGATTTGTTAAAAGTTCTTCTATTTAGTAGACTATTTTAACAGTCTTGCCTTGAAAAAACTTTTATATTTTTTCTTAACCTCCCCCTATAACATTTTAAAGTTATGTTACGTATTGTAACACTGTAACGTTACGTTACGTGCAAAATGTTCGTTATTTTTACGTATTTATCAAAATTTATCAAAATTTTTAATAAGAGAAGGAATATTTGAATGAAAAAGAGAAAAACTATTTTTATTGATGTTGGCAGAGTTGAAACATTCGATGTCCATATATTTATAATTAATAGAGTTTTCTTCGAGGTTTACGTCATTGTCATTGTTGTTATTAAGTTGATAGGAAATGAAATCATTAAGTTTATTATAAAGATTAGACTCTATAATGCTTGGAAAAGATGATATGTTGCTTGAGAGTTCATTAATATGAATCACTTTATCATTTATTGTTTGCAGGTGCAGCTCCTTATCAGATAAAGAACTAAATGGAAAAACACATTTCCTACATGAAATACAGAACCAAGATGTTTTAGAGTTTTTCAAAATCCTAAATTCCATATCATTCAGACGAAAGCATTTTTTATGAAAAAGGTTTAGGCAATGATTACATTAAAAGTAGTGATGATTTGTATTAATTTTTTTTAAACAATCTTTCCAGGGAGTAGACGTTTAAGTAGTACAGTTTATAAAATGAAATGAATGAAGTGAAATATTGAACAAACAGTAATATGAACAGCAATATAACCAAAAATATTAATAATAATAGTGTTTATTAATAATATAAATATAATTCAATTAATAAAATAAAAGTAATATTTACTTAACAGTTAAAATAAATAAGAAAAAATATTGTATTAATAAAGTTACGGAAGAATAACGTAAATATATGTTAAAAATAAGTTATAATTAGTTAATTTATAAGTTATTAGTACAAAATTAAATAAGTTATATTAAAGTAATAAAAAATTATGAATGATTATAAGTAAAATATTCTAGTTGTAATAAGTGAAAATATATAAAAATAAATTATTAATTTTATACTTAGTATTATAAGTTAATAAGTAAAACTAAAGTAACTAAGTTAACAAACTATACAGATATATAATAATAATAGTAACAGTAACAATAATAAGTATATATAATAATAAACAATAAAGAAAAAAAGTAAAAATTAATGAAAAATAAACAAAACAAAGCTAGAAAAAAAAAAAGAATAAAAAAAGAATAATTACATTGAATTATTATTTACTGCTTATTATTAATATTATATATTATTTTTTTGTAGCCATGTCCTGACAAAACTAATCGTATGGAAAGTTACCCTGTCGGGAAATAAAAAAACCAAATTTTTGAATTTGAAACTAATAAGACACATTGTTCTTCAAAATTTCTAAATAATTTGTGGAAATAACAGTCTCAGTCACAAAATGCAAATTAATTTGTACTTTCCGTTTCGAGAAATATCCTTTGGGATATGGTAGTAACCAAACAGGTAACACTGCTACAAATCCCAAAATCATTTGATCTGTTAAAGGAAAATGGGTTGTTTTTTTAATATGAAAAATTTATTTTTTACTAAAGCCAAAAATAACATACAACTCTAAATTATATTTTATAAAAAGAAATTAGTTTTAATGCTCTAAACCTTTTTTAAAACGGAAAGTCTGTTACTAGTAGCTTACGGAAAAATACAATTTTTTTAGTATGTACACTACCGTTCTTAATTATTCAAATGAATTAATTAATTAATGAAATCTGCACAAATAGTTGGTAATATATAGGAAAACAAAAATAGCTTTTAAATTATCGTCGAAGAAAAAACTTTTTGTCTGAATGTTTCATTAGTACTCTAAAAAACATTAAGCTTTAAAATATAAAAATCTCAAACAAGTTTAAAAATAGTTGATAAAAATATAAATAGGTTATATTAAAATATAAAATATAAATAGGCTATATTAAAATAAAAAGATTTAAATAGGTTATATTAAAATTATAAAAATATAAATAGGTTATAAAAATATAAAAATTTCAAAACAAGTTTAAAATAACAAAATATTCTTATACACAATCAATTGTTTAAAATAAACGCTTGCTACTGTAGTCAACAAATGCATGCTTGCCATTGTAGTCAACAAATGCATGCTTGCAACTGTAGTCAACAAATGCATGCTTGCTACTGTAGTCAACAAATGCACGCTTGCTATTGTAGTCAACAATTGCAAGCTTGCTAATGTAGTCAATCAAGCAGTGCTTTGTTAATGCTACTATGCATCCTTGTTTTCGTAGTCAAAAAAGTAGCTTATCAGTTTTTTCGGATAGCCTGGATAGCCACTTGATTTTTTTTATTGTTGCCAATAGATTCAGAAATTATGATGCATTAAATCAGTTTCTCGGATCCCAAGTGAGCGGTTATGATGGGTAACAAATTCAATAGCGTGGAAAAAAACTCATCAAAAAAAAACATTTATCTATGAAGTGGTAGTTATGTTTGGGAAATTCAGATAGAAACATCTGAACTCACCAATCTTTGAAGTGTAGCTATGTTCAAGATTATTTTCAAAGCAGGGATGTACTACTGCATGGAATTTACGAAGTGCTTCAATGATGATGAAAACGCCAAGAAACAAGCATGCTTTTAAACCAACTTTTAAAAAAATAGGTAAAGCTTTTATATTTTTTCTTGCTAAATTCTTGAGTATACACTTCCTAAAGCTTTACTTTATTTAACTCTGTTTATATGTTAATAAATGTTTAAATTCAAATGATGAACCAAAAAAAACATTACCTAGAAGAACAGGAAATAATTTTCTTGACTCAGCCTTATAGTCCAATGAGGTGATAGAGCCTTGTTTGAAATCACTAAAACAGTTACTCAGATGAAACATGGTCTTTTGTGTCAGCATGCAACAAATTCCGACTAGGTGTTTGTTTCGCGAAACTATGAGGAAGACTTATAGAGGAAATCTGATTGTGCGAAACGCAAACAAAACTTTATTTGGAATTTTAAGAGAATAAAGTAAGCTATGTTAACACTTTAAGATTAAAACTGTTACTTTTTCCCAGCAAACTTTGCGCGTTTATTTGAATTTGCAGACGATATTGTGATACACTATGCCAGCAATGATTTTAGTACCATCAAAAAACGTATGAAAGACAATTCAAACTCAATTTCAATATTTTTTGAAGAAAAGGATTTAGTCTTAAACCTAAGTAGCGGTAAAACACAATCTGTGCTATTTGGTACGCCTAAGCGATTGTCAACTTTTCCAAAAAATCTGTATTTGGTTTTCAAGAATACAAAAATACCATCAATCAATCAATCAATCATTTATTTCTGAATTAAGGTTTTACATTCAAGGATGTTTACAATATAGCAAATATACTAATATAAAGTAAACACCTACTAATGTTAATAATATCTAATTAATATAATGCTAATTTTTATAATATATATAATAACGATAATAAACTTTATAACATAAAACAACGAAGTTATGTAAATAACGATGTTATAACAATAATAACAATAACAATAATAACAATGATAATAATAACAATAATAACAACAATATTAGTTTTAGTAATAATAAAAGTTAAAAGTAGTTATCAATAGTAAATATTAGTAAAAACAACATAATAACAATAATCAATAAAAAAATATAGAATAGAAACTGTAAAAAAAATATATATATATATTACGACAACAAAAATAGATTATAGAAATTATAAACATTAACTATATTTTTATAATAAAAAGTAGAATAAACTGGTTTTAAAGGTTGAGAATGAATTGAGAGCTTTTAGTTCATAAACAAGGTTGTTCCAAGTTTAAGTGCTTTGATATTTTATGGATTTATGCCCATAATTATGAGAGCGGTGTTTAGAGACAGACAGGTTTAAGTTACTATCGGAACGAAGGTGATAACGATTGTTGGCACTTTTGAAAAAGAAATTAATGAAAGTTAAAGGTAGGTTATTGTGTTGGCGGTCCCAGAAAAATTGACAGTTTAAAAGTTGAATATAGTCACAT